TTAAAAGCATTAGAATGCACTAGCAAGACAAAGTTCCTAGGTTTTCAGGTATCAGTTCTTTGGAGTGTAAAAATGCAGCACATTCAGTTATGTAATATCTATAATAACATAAAAATAAACACTGTCATTTGCATTAAATAGTCTCCAACTGTTACAGTCAAGTGAGGATTCAAAGAGTGCTATGCCTGACAGGCAGTTGATAATTAATATACTTCACTTGATGGTGAAGAGAGCAAGAAACATCTTTTTCCTTTAACATATGTTCATATTTTGTACAAAGGAACTTTGACCCTTCTTTGGAGCATCTAGGAATTAGTACCAGTGACCCCCCCCCACACCAGCTATGGTTGATTTACAATAGTTCTACAGTAGCTCTGAGTCTGTGCATTTTCATGCCACATTAGATACTGTTCAACACTGTAAAAATTTAGTTAATATTCATGGCCATTTTATAATGAATAATAATTACAATGGCCACATTTTATACTTCCGTCTCATGTAGTTCCAATAATAATGGTTAATGTTTTCTAATAATGGTGAAAGGAGGCCTAAGATAAAGTGCAATTGAGTCATCATCTCTGTAATTTTTATAAGTCTGTAGGCAGAAATTGCAGGCTTTGGATAAATTGTATCATACCTACAGAAAGGTTCCATGGTTTTAGACAAGGCATTTCATCTAAGAAGTTTACCTGGATTTTATTTTTCTCATTAAAAATATATTTAGTAGTAGCCATTTGTTGTATGGTTCAGCATCACTTTATGCATTAGAGAATATTTAGAAAAAAAATCAGAATGGCTCATGTAGTGAGAATTTATTTATTAGGGGTTTTTAAATTAATAATATTGCCTTGAATGGGGATGGTGTAATGAAGGAGGATTAAGATACTTAATTTAAACGTAATTATCCCTAAAATATGTCCTTTTTTCATCATGCTGACTGCTACTAGTAGTCCAGAGAACAATTATACAATTATTACTGAAATGAAAGATCAGGTAAAGACTGGCCACTTTCAGCAACAGTTCATGGTGTTACATATAAATACATATAAATATGTATTTAGAGAGGAAAATGATCATTTTGATAGTGGAGGAAAGCACTCACCACCATAACAATTTTAACAATACTGTTGAAACTAATTGCAGTCCACAATGTGTGTTATGAAAGTTGCAATAACGGTTTTGGTTGTTTTCTTCCGTAGGAGGAAGAAAAGAAGTACCTGTACTTAGGAGGTACAACTCTTATTACTCCAATTTAAAAACTATGCTGAAATATTTGTTTACATTCCTTCTCTCACTCTCCAGTCTGAATGTAAAAATAGATTCCTTACAAAGTTTTAAACTATCAGTAGGATTAAATCAATTGGACATCCGTGTACAACACCTCTTGTGTGTATACACACTACAGATGAGCACCAAGAGCTAAAATCTAGTGCCTTTCTACAACGGAGTAACTGCACTGGTGGATAAGGGAAGAGCAACTGCTGTCATCTGTCTTGACTTCTGAAAGGCCTTTGACACAGTCACAGAAAACATCCTTATCACTGATTCTGAGGTATGGTTTTGATGGATGGACTAATTAGTGAATAAGGAACTGTCTATATGGATGCATCCAGAGACCTGCAGCCAACTGCATCTCCAAATGGAGATCAGCAACAAGTGCTGTCCCTCAGGGGTTCATGTTGGCATGAATACTATTCAGTGTCTTTATTAATGACATAGACAGTGGGATTGAGTGCATCCAAATCTACGGATGACTCTAAGCAGATGATCCTCCATGGGCTGCAGGGGCACAGCTGCCTCACCATGGTCTTCACCATGGGCTGCAGGGGGTTCTCAGCTCTAGCACTTGGAGCACCTCCTCCTGTTCCTTCTCCACTGACCTTGGTGTCTGCAGGGCTGTTGCTCTGAATATTTTCATCGTCTCTCCTGACTCCTGTTTCACAACCACTTTTCACCATCAAAAACCTGGCCATGTTTGAGTACAGTTGAGTATGACATACATACGAGTATGACAGTTTTTCCAGTTTTTCTTGATATCACTATTCATGAGTACAGTTTGTGTGAATTAGGCATTACAATAAACTTTCCACACATGACACAGCTGTCAATGGAGAAGGAATAACTTTTCTTACTTATTCTGAAGAAATATATTTCACCATTCGCTTCTCCCTTTTTCAGAAGAATTAAAATTATTGCTTTTCTAATCTAATCTTTGAAAAGAGCCTTCAGCTCTTGTTCTCAGTGACACTTTTTTTTTTTCCTGTTATATCCTGGGGTTTTTTAATTCTATATATTTCAGATAGATTAAAAACTGTCTCACAAATTATTTTAAAAGAGTGTGCTGAATGGCAATAACATTTAAAATATTTTAATACTACCATTGGCTTTATATTGTTCCATTTAGATTCCCTTCCAACTCTAGCATACTTATTGAAGTCTGAGATTCATCAGGTTGTCCCTGCTGTTTGGAGTTGTCCTTAGTTTGGAGTTGAGAAATGCCTTTTAAAAGAGGCATAACAAATTTCAAGAAAGCAGATTTTACCTTTACACCACCATTGTCAAGCTCTAGACAATCAAAACTCCCTAATATACAGGACTATCCCACCATCTCTCCTTCACTGCTGATTCTGAATAGTTTGTAGCCACTTGTTGCAGCAGTCCTGACACATAAATTATCCCACCATGTTTTCATGATTGCTTACACTGTAATTCTCAGGCTGCACAATGTTTTCCATCACCTCACGTTTTTGCCTATGCTGCATGCTTTGTTGTAGGTGAATTTCAGTTGGGCTATCAATCCTGCCACCTTTGGGATTGAAGGGAAGAAGCTCCAATTCCTATGTGACTGTCCTCAGGTGCATCCATGCTTTTAAACACTTCAACACCCACCCCTGCTGGACACACTGGTACAGGGGCATTTGAATGTGCTACGGTGTCCTCAGCATATTTCAAATTTCCTCAGCTCATGGTGGAGCAGGCTTAAGGACGTCATTAGCACACTAACATTGAACATTACCATGCCACTCCCAGGCTTATCTCTAATGAGCCTGGTTTTATCCCTTTCCATTTTCCAATCTAGTTTAAAACTCAATTAATGAGCCCTGCTTACTCCTGAGTGAAGATCTTTTTCCCCCTTTAAGTCAGGTGTCTCCCATCTGTCATCAGCAGTCGTGATGATCAAAAGCCACGAAATTCTGCCAGTCTGAGAATTAGATATTGATCTGCTGGGTCTTCCTGTTTCTTCCTTCATTGTTCCTTGCAACTGGAATGATAGAGGAGAATACTACATGTGCTTCCAGTCTTAGCCAGTTCATCGCAAGGTGCTGAGTCTCTTCTGATTGGCCTTGGACTTCTTATTGCAATTTCATTGCTACCTACATGAAAAAGTAGTAATGGTTAATCAAGTGAGGGCTATAGCAGAGTAGAATGTTTCTTCATAATGTATTTGTCGTGGTTTTGCCCAGCAGCCCATCCCTGGGGCTGTGCATGGTTTTGTCCAAGTGGATTTCTGGACAAAAAACCAATCAAAACTCTCAGTAATACCTTTGCTAATTACGTCTTTAAGAAAACGGAAGAGAAGGTTTGTGTCGCAGTTGAAATTAGGCAGCCATGTAGGAGAGAGGCGGCAGGCCCCAGGTGGGGGCAAGGCCCCCTCCTCCCCCGGCTTGCGCCGGGGGGGCAGGTGTGGCACTGAAGCCCCCCTTCTCTTCTGTAAGAGAGTGAAGGAAAAAAACTTTAAAAGACTGACTACTTAGACAAAGAACCACTGCAGAAGAACTCCGGCAAAGAGATAAGGGACCTCCAAGGTCAAAGCTGGCAGTCATAGGAGAGAGAAGTGCGAAGGGGGGCCTGTTTCTCCCCCCTCCTTTCACTCTCTCCCTTCAGTAGGGAAAAGACTGAAAAATAATCCATGCCACCTGTGAAAGATTGTTGGGGTGAGGAAACCCCCCATGTGGCTCACAAAGGAGCTTGGGGATGTACCAGAAAATCGAGACTTCATGAGAGGGACTGAAATGAGGCAGAGTCCTGTTGAAAACTTACGACCCTGAAGGGATGAGTGTTATGCTGGAACAAAAGATGGCTCAAGTAAGCTGGAGATCTGAGTGAGAAATCCATGCTGCTAATACTAAAGATTTGAGGCCCTTACGCTGGAGCAGAGAACGGCTTGGATGAGACGTTGGAATCCATGTGTGTATGGGATCCGTGCTACTGTTGAAAGATTTATGACCCTGAGAGAACCTCACGCTGGAGCAAGAATGGCTTGGGTGAGATGTTGGAATTCGTGTGTGCGTGGAATCCATACTAGACTCATGCCAAGAAGTCTATCAAGGACTGTTCTCCCATGGGAAGGGACCTCCATAAGGAACAGGGGTGGACTCTTAAGCCATTATCCCCTGTAACCCTGCGGAAGAAGATACATGGTAGGCAAGTGTCCCCTTGCAAGTCCATGGAAGAAAAGACCCTTCAAGACCTGGGTAACCCCAACCTTCGGTCTTAACCCAGGAGGGGGGTAGGCCCAGCCCTGGAGGCCGACACAGGGAAGGAAGAGTTCCAGCTGCAACGAGAGCACTGCAGAGTTACTGGAGAGAGAGAGCTGGAACTCCGAAAATGGAGACAAAAACTGCTTCTCCTCCTTAGACTAATATAAAAAGGGGAGGAGGGAGGAGTATTTTCTGTAAATACATGGCACCTTTTACTTAAATAAGATTATTGTAGATATAGTTCTTTAATAGTTTTTATTGTGCTAGTAATAAATGCTCATACTTTTTTCCCCAATCCAGTCTCTTTTGTCTGCATAAACCTTCTCTCAACTGGTTAGTAATTGTGTGGAAGGTGTAAAAGCAAACTGACCCAAGGCAAAACCATGACAGTATTTAACACAGGCTCTGGGGTGCAGCAGATATCTCTAAGTGGGTCTAGTCTGCATACTGGGCTTTCTGTTCCTCTCAGAAGAAAGTCTCCTATGGCAATAACCCATTTTTCTTTTTTCTGCATGGAAGCGGTTTTGACACAGGAAGTAACCTCAGCAGTTTAACCTCAGCAACAAGTGCAACCCTCAATGAACCACCATCCTCATCGCGTTCAGTTCCACTTGCAGAGCCTTGTACCTGCTGTGCCTGGGCACCTGAGAAGGGGAGGTTGTAACAGAGGAGATACACCAACTGTGCAAGGCAAGAAGTCACCAGCTTTCCCCCTGTCTCTTAAGTAATGATGTTCTTTATCTGTTCTGCAGACTGAAGAGAGGATAGGGAATCTCCTGTGTCATGTATCCTGTCTGCCTGACTGGTCTGTCCTTGCAACGTTGGGGTGTTTTTCAAGTAGTCCCTCTCTTGGTCAGACTCTTTGATACTGCTCAATCTACTTATCTCCCCCCACACCTCTATCACTAAGCAGAGGAGTTTCTCTACCTGGGCACTCCTCCCAGAGGTATCCTCACTGCTGCTGTCCAATTCTGGTGTAAGAATAGGGCACAACCTGCAGCTGACACCTGGGCAGGCAAAGTCATAAGAGGAGATACAAGTAGGCAAGTCTGTGAAAGTATAATAAGAAGTGGTGCTAGGATGAATAGGTAAGGACTTGATAAACTGCAAAACAGATGAAGATAAGACCAAGAAGGCCCCATTGTCTTCTTCATGTCTTTTTTTTCTCTCCTGCCTTTCTTCCTCCCTTAAAAAAAAAAAAAAAAATCTTTATTGGAAAAAGTTCATAGTGATGAGGTTCTTGGTACAGTTAATACCTCTAACATCAAGACAAAGGTCAGGCTAAGGCCAGGATGTAAAAGGATAAAGTTCCTTGAGGTAGTTGACCTGATTTAATGGCTTGCTGTTGCCAAAAGGTGAGATCCCACATGCTTTGCCATGTGCAGACTAAACTCCCATAAACCAGCATTGTTACTCACATGCTTTCAGTCTTTTGTGCTGGCTCTGGCATTTATCTGACCCTGTGCTGAACCAGTTCAGCTTGCTAAATAGGCAAAAACCAAAATCCATTAACAGTTATGAGAAGAAGTGAGTGTTTATTCAACACTAGTTCACAAGAATATTATTTCCAGGAACCACACCAAGAGAAATTCAATTTTCAAATAAAAAAGCTGTACAGGTAATCTATACAGTTATCTTCTGTGATCATGTTCCCTCACTAGCCAAAATCACTCACTTTTCAGAGGTCTGCCTCCAGGTCATGTGTAAAAAGTATGTATAAAATGTACCTATAACCTGCCTTGCAGAAGCTGAGTGACAGAAATTTAAGAACTCAGACTGCAGACACAGAGAGGTGCTATGCCAAATGCAACATTATACAACAGATGACACAACAAAGAACAGCAGTTAGAACTGAACTTGGGCAGATTCAACTCAGATATAGGAAAATGTCTTTTGGGAAGTGTTTCAGCATCAGAATAAATTCTTGCAAAAGGAAAAGGGTTCTCCCTCTCTCGGTGTTTGCAAACCTTGACTCAGAATCTTTACAGAATATGAGTGTTACTAAACCACAAGGGTTTTATGTCAGTGCAAAGATTTTGCTAAGCTATCTAATAAAATATTGCAAACTTAAAAATGGTTTCTTTTGCCTCACAGCCAAGACATACTTGGGTAACTTGGGATGTCAAGTGGGGGAACACACTAATTCCTGATACCGCTGCTTACCTGATGATTACTTCACATGGAAGACAAGAATACCGTAAAAGGTTACCTAAGCAGGGCAAAGCTGCATTTCGCTAGGGACTGGATTTAGATCGTCCTGCCCTGACACCCATCACAGTGCGGGGGGAAGGGAGGGGACGGGGGGACGGGACGCCAAGTAACGAAACTTCCCGGACTGAGTAGAAGGGTCCTCTTTGAAGTAGCTGGTGTTGGTCCACCGGCAGTGCAGGGTGCTCGAGAAAACTAATGTTGGGAGGCGACGTAATAGGGGTGTCCTCACAGAGCGTTAGCGCGGCGCGGTGCCGGGGGCCGGGGATGCGGGGGTAGAGGCGGTGCTGCTGCAGGTCGGCTCCGGAGTAGGGGCGGGGCAGGAGCGGAGGAAGGGCGGGGCGGTGCCGGCTCAGGGGCGGTGCGGGGGCGGTGCGGAGGAGTTGCCGCCTCAGGGGCGGTGCGGGACCGCTGCCGGGGCGGGCCGGGTCGGTGCTGGCTCAGGGGCAGTGCTGGCTCGGGGGCGGTGTGCGGAGGCAGGTGCTGGCTCAGGGCGGCTCAGGGGCGGTGCAGGCTCAGGGGCGGTGCTAGCTCAGGGGGCGGTGCGGGGGCGGTGCTGGCTCAGGGGCAGTGCTGGCTCGGGGGCGGTGTGCGGGGGCGGTGCTGGCTCAGGGGCGGCTCGGGAGCGGTGTGCGGGCGGTGCTGGCTCAGGGGCGGTGCTGGCTCAGGGGCGGTGGTGGCTCGGGGGCGCTGCGGGGGCGGTGCTGGCTCAGGGGCGGCTCGGGGGCGGTGCAGGCTCAGGGGCAGTGCTGGCTCGGGGCGGTGCGGGGGCGGTGCCCGCTCAGGGCAGGGCAGGGCGGAGCGGAGCGGAGCGGTGCGGGCGGCGGCGGAAGCGGTCGCCGTGCGGGCGGGGCCGGCGTTGCCAGGCGGAAGCGCGGCGGCGGTTGGCGTTTAAAGGCTCCGCGGCGGCAAAAGGGTGGCGAGCGGCGGCAGCGCGGGCGGGGCGGCCCCAGCCTCAGCCCCGGCGGCCTCCGGGCGGAGCGGGGAGATGGCCTCCAGAGCCGCTGATCGACTGCTGATCGTCGTCTCTGTGCTGGAAGGTAACCGGGCGGGGGTGGGACGGCCGCGGCCTCCCGGAGGCTGCTCGTCGTCTCCGTCCAGAAGGGAATGTGAGGGAGGGGTGCTCGCTGCCTCCGGAGGTGTTTGCTCGGGTGGCGAGTGGCGAAAGCTGAGCAACTTTATTTGAATAAACAGGCTGTTATAGTAAAGCTGCGGACGTACATACCTTAAAGCCAGGGCTGGCTACCCCCAACTCAAATTTGGAGGTATTTACCCAATATATTATCTAAAATGAATGGGGAAAGCAACCATTCTGCCTTGATTTCTTTAATATTTTTTTTCCTTTATTTATAAGCGGTATTCTGGTGTTTCTATCCCTTATTAGTAATCTTCTGTAAGTTTTTATGTAGTGTTGACTTGAATGCTATTCGTTCTTCATCTTGTATTTCTACAGATTTTACTTGCTGTGGTCTAATTAGTGTGTGAGTCCGGGGGCTCTCTTTTTCTGTTTTGGGTTGTGCTTTTTGTTTTGTTTGGTTTGGGGTTTTTTGGTGGAATGATTTCTCTTTGTCAGGTAAATCCCTTTAACTCTCTATCCACGTATGTAGTTTGCCAATGGAGCTTAGAAATAAGTTCCTGTTCCCTGACATGCCCATAGTCCTCTCCCCACACTGTGATATAAGTAAATTTTAAGTGTTAACTTCCTCCTGTAATTTAAATTGTTAATCAGAATACAAGATGATGCTGAACGCAGGACAAATCATAAACAGCTTTAGACACTTTCCTGATCTGGTAATGACTTTTTTTTTTTTTTTTTCCTCAGCAAGTGGCTGGTAAAACACATTTTGCTACTTTTATAAGATCACGTTATGCTACTTAGGTGTGGGACAGTCATAATATCTACAGCTGAAGCAAAAAATTCATTTGCTTTCTCTCACCTGCTTACTTACCTATTATGACTCATAGATTTCTCAAATCATACCAATTGCCTAGCTTCTTTCTCTCAGTTCTTTTTTACTTAATGTCTTGTTTCTGGATGCTTCAAAATAGGGTTTTGTGTTATGTTCTTATTTCATACTTTTGCATAGTGTGAAGACTTTTTCCTTTTAATGTGAAGAACAACTGTAGAGTAAGTGCAGTGAAAGTTATACGGGAAAATAATTTTATGTAATCATTTTATGACATAAATCTGAGCTCTTTGAGTAAGTGGAGGGAAGGTGGTACAGGAAGTTAATTTTATGTATCTGTTTGTGGTATAAATCTGGGCTCTTGCTTCTTTCTTAGTGATGGCACATAACTGGTACACTGTTTTACAGGGCGCTGTTTCCCAAAACGACCCAAGCACAATCTTATAGTTGAAGCGAAGTTTGATGGTGAACAGTTGGCTACTGATCCCATAGAGCACACTGATCAGCCAGAATTTGCTACAGAATTGGCTTGGGAACTTGATAGGAAGGCACTTCATCAGCACAGGTAATGTTAAAGAGTTAAGTATAATTTGGCGATAAAATTTGATTTCCTTGTCTTTACAGTTACTGAAATATTATCTTTGTGTTACTGTCAGCTAGACTGGTTTTTAAGACACTCTTTTACTTTAATCTAGCATAATGTTACCTTAACAAAAAAGTATATGGCAGGATAAGTAATGTTTAAAAATTCTAAAGGGTATGTTTTTACACCATGAAAAAAAAAACACAGGAGCTTAGAGCAAATTATTGATGCTATAATTCAAGCATTGGATTCAAGCTTTCTTATGTATATTGTGGCAAAAAATTAACTTACTTTACATAGGCTTTTCAGGCTTTAAGTTGCTTTTGAAAATGGCAGGGAGAAGAGCTGAGAAATTGAATGTTTGCATAACTCTCTTTTGGTTTTAACTTACAGTTTGTAATACTACAACATTATTTCCAAAGAAATTAGAAAGACCATGTTTTCTTTGTTTGACGAGAGAAGAAAACATGTGCTAGACACCTTATGTAGTTAGTGCCTGTATGGAGTTAGGTGCTTTATACAACCTTCTCTGTAAGTCCTGTTTTTAAGATTCAAGTTCCTTGTGAGGCACTGTGCTTATTTCTTTTATGTGGATGAGTTTGTATTTATTTGTTGCTATTTCTTTTTAATAGCACTGGAGACTCAGACTCCAGTACACTCCTTCTACAAAGTTGAACCACTTGGTTCATTCTCTCACTTAATGATGAGGCTACAATACACTCAGTATAAATACAGTTTCTGACCTAATGAAACTAGTTATATAAAAAATAATTTTTGTGTTATTTGGCATGCTTGGAAGTTATGAATTATTTTTGAGAACTAATTGCAGAGGTAACTTTTAGTATTTCAACTGAGTTACTTTTTCAGGCTGCAGCGTACACCTATCAAACTTCAGTGTTTTGCATTGGACCCTGTGTCTTCAGCTAAAGAGAATATAGGCTATATTGTACTTGATTTGAGAGCTGCACAGGAAAAGAAGCAGGTATGTCATGAGGTGTAAAGCTTTAAAAATTGTTTTGACAGCAGTACTGTTACTACAATTTGAATTAAGGCACAGGCTAAACTTTTGAGTCTTGTTTTGGAGTATGACGTTACTGGATCTTGTATGGTGACCATGTGTGGGGGGGTTTGTGGTTTTTTTTTTTTAGGGGGGTCTCTTTCTTGACTCAGAACATACACAAATCAAAGTATTGCTATACTAATCTTGCTTACTTATGAATTTGATAATTGGATCACTTGCAACCAATAATTCTACACAATTTCATTATTTAACCACCTGTAAAAATTGGTGGAAAAGAGTATGTTCAGCTAGTATTCTAGGAACCATTTTACAGTATAATATAGAGAGTGCTGGTGAACGGGGCTGCATCTAGGTGGTGATTGGTCACCAGTGGTGTTCCCCAGGGATCGGTTCTGGGCCCAGTCCTGTTAAATATCTCTACTGATGATCTGGATGAGGGGATTGAGTCCACCATTAGCAAATTTGCAGATGACACCAAGCTGGGGAGGAGTGTTGATCTGCTGGAAGGCAGGAGGGCTCTGCAGAGGGGCCTGGATAAGCTGGAGATATGGTCTGATTCCAATGGGATGAGGTTCAACAAGGCCAAGTGCCGGTCCCTCACTTCGGCCACAACAACCCCTGCAGCGCTACAGGCTGGGCACAGAGTGGCTGGAGAGCAGCCAGGCAGAAAGGGACCTGGGGGTGCTGATTGACAGGAAGCTGAACATGAGCCAGCAGTGTGCCCAGGTGGCCAAGAAGGCCAATGGCATCCTGGCCTGGATCAGGAACAGTGTGGCCAGCAGAATGAGGGAAGTGATCCTTCCCCTGTACTCAGCACTGGTGAGGCCACACCAGTGTTCAGTTGTGGGCCCCTCAGTTCAGGAAGGACATTGAGGTGCTGGAACAGGTCCAGAGAGGAGCAACGAGGCTGGTGAAGGGACTTGAGCACAAGTCCTGTGAGAAGAGGCTGAGGGAGCTGGGGTTGTTTAGTCTGGAGAAGAGGAGGCTCAGGGGTGACCTCATCAGTCTTTACAACTCCCTGAAAGGAGGTTGTAGCCAGGTGGGGGTCGGTCTCTTCTCCCAGGCAATCAGCAGTAGGACAAGAGGGCATGGGCTTAAGCTCTGCCAGGGGAGGCTTAGGTTGGATATTAGGAAGACATTTTTTTCAGACACCGGAATGGGCTGCCTAGGGAGATGATGGTTTCGCCACCCCTGGAGGTTTTTAGGATGAGGCTGGATGTGGCACTGGGTGCCATGATCTAGTAACCGCAGTGGTGTCGGATCAAGGGTTGGACTTGATGATCTCGGAAGTCTTTTCAGACCTGGTTGATTCTATGAGTCTATGATAATAGTGTACTCAAAATAGCCCAAATTTTTAGAAATAAAAACCAAGGTATATTTCTGTAGATGATGAAATAGAAGTGCTAGAGCAAGACTGAGTTTTCTGTAATAATAGTATGTTATCTTTCTTGGGTTTTAAAGTGCTTTTGGTTTTTATTTTTGTCTTAAATTTTGTAGGCACCAAAATGGTATCCATTGCTTAGTAACAA